GTTCCAAGACAGCGATATGATTGACATAGATGGAAAAAGTATTAAGAGAGTTGATTGTGTTAAATATCTTGGACTATTTATGGATCAACATCTTAAGTGGGATAAACACTGTCAGGCTTTGGAATCAAAACTAGCCTCAATATCAGGGATTTTATGGAAACTCAAGTACAAATTGACACAATCAACCAAGAAACTCATCTACCATACACTATTCGAATCTCATCTAAATTATATGTCAATGATTTATGGTACAGCTTGTCAAAAAGTGTTAAATCCCGTCCAAAAAATTCAAAATCGAGCTTTGAGAAGTGTATTTGATGTTGACTTCCTCGAAAGTAGAGTGAACATGTATTCTCACTTGGTCCAGAATTGCCTTCCAGTACGTGCAATCAGCTTCATCAACTCAGCGACTTTCATTTACAATAATCTGGCTAACAGGATCCATTCCAATGTCGTTTTTGAAAGAACCACATCTAGCAGCAGAACGAGGAAGATCGGTGAGCTTATTAAACCGCTTTCAAGAACAAACTATGGAAAAAAGAGAATAACGTCAATTGGTGTTAAAATTTACAACAAAATTCCTCAAGATCTAAAGAACTTACCACACATGCATGCTTTCAAATGGGCATTGAAATGTCACATACGCAATGAGCAGATGATGTCACTTTTCCTTTCGGGAGATTATTTGAAGCAACTTGAAGAGACCTAAAACAAAAAATTTTTTTAAATCATAAAATGCCTGCTTGCTTGTTACTATCCTAATTGAAACAATTCACCTGGTATCTATTCCGCTCTGCATTACTAATTACTGCTTATTACTTCTTGATGTTGACTGCACTGTGCAAATACTTAATTCTCCTATTTTCTATTACAATGTCGTTAATTTTCAATTTTTGTTATGTAAACATTAACTTGGCTTATTATTGCAAAACTTACAGCTCAACTTTTTCACCACTTACAATTTTAAATATCTAAAAACCGTTAAAAACTGTCAAATGTCAATCACCGTAATATTTTACAAACTTGAGATCTTCAATGTTCTTTGAATGCTGATCTCACACTTTATTCTATAAATTGTAAATCTAGTATTAAGTTCAAAGGTTTTTATGCCGATCTCAACAGTAACTGTTAATACTGTTTAGAATGGCTTTTCCTTTGCGAGTTAAAGAAGAGAATAAACAAATAATAATAATAATAATAATAATAATAATAATTTAAAATCTTTAAACATTGAAAGATAAATCCACACTGCAGCTTTGTATCTCTAAATTACACCCAAGAGTAATCAAAAATCATTATTCTCCACAGACACTAAATACTCAAAAGACCATTCTACTTGCCATATAATTTTTCGTTATAATAATAATGTTCTGCTTTATTTCAGTTTAATTCCACTTATCATACAAAGTAATCCAAAATGAAAGCAGCTATTATATTTAAATGTTTCATTTTGTTTATAACAATCTTGAATTTATTGAATACACGCAAGATTGAATGTGTCTCAATTAAGGTAAGAACCAAATTTTCGTAATGATCATTCTACGCTAATTTTCTTATTTATAAACAGAGAAATTCTACTTTGCAATATTGTATGAGTGATGAGGTCTGTGCTCTTGGGTACTTTAGTGAAGATGGAAATGTCAATCAAATAATTAGATATCAACTGTCTAGGTAAGATGAAAACAATGTGAATGTGAGGCTTGGCAACAGCTTTGTGCTGAAGGGAATTTTTTTTTTAATATTAGAGGCGTTGCAGGAATCGAACAGATTAATTTTTATTTAATTGTATGTAATTTGTGGGTTAATTTGATCCATTTAGTTGCATTAATATGAGAATGTTCTAATGCTGGAGAATTTGGACGTAGTTAACCAAGAGGGGCTACGACAGTTTCAATTTTAAGCACCCATTACCCCACTTACTTAGTTCGATGACCTTACAGATCAATTGTGATCCATGGCCTCCCTGAGATGCCGTCTAAAAGTGGCTCTATCACTGCCTACAGTTTGCCAATTTTCTTTACCAAATGCAATACTGTCTCTATTTCTATGAGTTCTTTAGCCTTCCACGTACTCTTTTTCCATCCACAAAGTCCGACTTAAAGACCTTCCTTAATGGAGCTCCTTATAACATGTCCAGCCCATCACCCCTCACTGTTGAAAAAACAAAGCCAATAAATCTACAAAAAATTCTTCGTACATGTCAAATAGCACACAATTCAATTCAATGTGTGCTGAATAGCAAAATACCAGCTCATAATTATTGACTTTAATAATATTGTCTGTTCAGTGGAGCAATAATACACAGATGCAGAAAGTCAAGTAATTATTGAGCGCTGTAAATGTTTTAATTGTCCGATAAATTATAGACTCTCTGTCTCCTATCTGCTTAGATACATTTTCTTTCCTACTAAAATTAGTTTGTCATTGGGGGTCACTTTAAATGACGTCATCAACATTGAAACTTTTTTAAATTGTCAAACAGCTTGAAATGTCACATGCTGGACGTCACATGCGAATGACATCCTAAGGCAAATTTTAGGAAACTGCCAAGCTCTAATTAGCGACAAATTTTCTCAATTAAATTCAATAAATTATTTAATTCCCCATCCTTTTCTCTCTCGCTTTCATTTACAGCTGTCGATGCCCGAAATCCCATAAATGTTCACAAACTGATGATATAAATAACAATCAATTTACAATTGTATTTCGATGCAAATTACGAGGTCTTTGTTTTCAATAATTCTTCAAAAACACATGTTTTAATTAAGCATACCAAAAATATTGATATTGATACTGTAGATTACATGCGGATTTTTCGACTGTGTACCAAAATAATTTAAAAAAATAAAAATAACTCGCAAAATAATTAAATTAGCATCAGTTGAGTCAATATTCATCAAATAATAGACACAAAAAAATTGAGAATCGCGTGTGCATGTGAGAAAAAAATATGTCCATCAGATTATTTTACATTTCATTTAATCTCTCGTGATGCATAAATTTTGTTACAGCACATACTGCATAGATTCAATTATAAAGAATTTAATATGAAGTGAAATAATAGTCAGGTTTGAGGTGTACAAAATTTGATGACGCATTTTTTGATTTTGGAAAATTGAAATAAATTTCTTTCCTCCCCCCCCCCCTTCCCTGATGCCTTATTTTCGCATTGAAACTTTTGAATTTTTTTTTTAAAATTTAAGTAGGGTCGTTCAATTATGACGTCCATTTTAACTGTCATTTTTCAAAAAAGTGAAAAATGGATTTCCAGGAATTTCTACTGGTTTTTTCTTGCTGAATCCACCCCCCCTCCGCCCTGCACGTCATAAGTGAAAGGATACTTATCCAAAAATCACAAAAATTAAAACAAAAATCACAAAAAATAAATTTAATTTTTTTCAAGAAAATTTCATTAATCAAAATTATACAGTCTAGCTGATAAGGACAAATCACACCAGTCGCTGACATTATTCATAATCTAAATGCAATGCGCATTGCGCTTCAAATTTTTTCAGATGAACTTTTGATTTATTTTATTTTTATGCAAAAAGCATTGATGAGAAAGTGCAAAAAACCCATAAAAATAAAATAAAAAGTCACATGGCGTAGTGAGAGAAAAAAAAATCTATTTGCGTTCTCAAAAAAAAAAAAAAATTTGTTGACGTTAAATAATATATTGGGAGTATAGTGAAGGCCTTCTAGAGAAAAATTCATTTGTGACTCAACATGAGCGAGATTTTTAAGCGGTAATTGCTGTAGAGGAGTTTTTTTTGATGAATTTTTTGTGGGGGTTTGGGAAATTTTTTTGAAATATTCATTGAACAAAATTCTTCAGAAAAATAATTTCAAGCCTTTAAACATGAAAATTTCCCAAGACATATGTTTTATTTAAAAATATTAGCTTGTTTATGAAAAATATATTCACACTCTTAAAGTGATAATTGGATGTTTTCAAACATTCAAATTTAAATATATTTTTTTTCTGGTGAATAGCGAACTGCCAATTAAGAAGAGGAAGTGGTTATTTAGCGATCTGATTTTTTTCTTAATTGTTTCTTGGAAAAGTAACGGATTCTTTAAGTTTTTGATTTATTGATTGTTTAAAAATGCCACGCAGTTTTATGTAGAGCATTCAAGAGCATATTCAGTGGTTTTGTTTTTTTTTTTGGGAAAACTGATTTTATAAAGAATTAAAGATAAATTCAGTTGAGTTGAAATCATAAGCTTTGACACTATTGAGAGAAAGCAGAGCAGAATTAAAGAGATGGGTTCAAACCACCGCTCTCCATTTTTTTTTTGTAAAAACTGACTATCCTTTTGAGTGAAAACCAAGGCTTATACCCTCAGGACTAATAACAAAAATCCAAAAACATCCCTAAAAATCTCAGCACCTCCTATCATCAAAGCTTGAATCCCCCTTGAAATCCCTCAATTATTCATCAACTGAAGAAGATATTTCAAGTGGGATTCGAAATTTGATGACAGGAAGTGCTGTGTTTTTGGGGATTTTTGGGATTAATCTCGAGTTTTTACACTTTGGTGCAAATTGTTTCGATTTAAATAGATTTTGTTTGTCCAGATTTGATTTAAATATGATTTTTCTGAAACCACTCACCAGTTGAAATTGAGCAATTCCTCAGTTCATAACTAAAATACAAACAAAACCTATTCAGATAAATTATGATCCAGAAATGTGCTAAGGCGATCCTCAGCTAATGACAGTTTAAGAAATAAGGATGTGCTGAGACCTAGAGAAAGAAAGAAAAAAACCTAGACCTGTAGTTTAAAGTGGGATCTAAATTACTCTTTTGATGACAATACTGACTTTAGCCTAAAAAGAAAGGCTGTGAGCTTCATTTCCAGTGCATATGATTCAAAAAGGGACACGCAAAAAATTGCCAACTCTCGAACTGTGTCAGTAATGCAATAAGCGAACTTAGGTACCGAACTTCTAAACTATTCAGCTCACTGAACTGAAACTTAAAATTGAACAAGAAACACGATTTTGAAATATTTAATAATAGTTTTTTCAACTACTAGGTTCTACAAGGTTTTTCATAAAATGTACAAACAAGCGAATTAGCTTAGAAGCTTCATTCTCTACGTTCCATTTCAAGCAGCCAGCAATTCATTGAATTTAAGTGGTTAGCAAGAATTAACACAATTTTTTATGACGACGTGGTCTTCAAAAGAAGGATTGCAATTAGATGTATTTCTTAGAAAATTTCAAGTGCCATGAAGAGTTAAGCATGATTTCTGAAGAAAATAATTTGCTTTTCTCGTCTCTTTAAAAAAAAAATCTTCTCAAAATAAAACACTTGAAATATGATGTCATTTCAACAGAAAATTATCACATATGTAGGTAGCCTGCTTGATGAAAGTAATGAAAATTCTAAGGATGTCTGCACATAATCGATGCGGTATGTCTAAAAACAACAAATTAAGCGTGAAAGTCATCAAATAAAAATTCCTGAAATATTTTATCAAATTTACTAACTCTCGCCTGATACACCTGATCACATTCAACACAAGTCTGATAAATTTGTAGATTACGACAGTAAAAATTGTCAACATATTCCCAACATCCACAGCAGCAGCAAAAAAAAAAGTCATTTTGAATCGTCGCCAAGAAAGAAGCGAAAATTGTTAATTTACTTTTCGCGCGCTCTATTAAGTCTCCTCGTTCATGAATCATTTTGTGAGTATATTTAAATTTTTTTTTGCTGTATATAAAATGTATTTTTGAAAATGTGAGGATTTAAAAAAAAAATAAAATAAATTTTTTACGTTTGTTTGGGTTTTCGGTCGTATTTTCGTCAAAACAAATTGTAGTCAGCGATTATTATATCATTCAATATGAGACATGGTGTCTTTTTTGACATTCAAAACTACGCATCAAAATAAATTTACAGACACAGTGGCTTGTCTATTTACTACATAGCTGACAGAAGTGTCTCATACAAATAAATTAAGATTAAAAACTTTTTTATTTGTCTTCTTATAAAATTAAAAATGAAATCACGGTCTGTATGCATTATATTGGCATTATAATTAGCATTTACTAACAAGCATGCAGCAATGAAAATTACATGTTATAAGAAGTACTTATTTGCAGATTGTTAGTACTGGAAAAAATTACCATAGTGTGATATGTCAGAATCAGCTGATGTAAAATCATTGCAGCATGTAAATGCGGGAATGGATGGATGGAATAGCATTTGAAGTTTACTTCAGGCTGGGACTATTATTGAACTTTTCATGAAGCAATGAATTCTAACCAATTTTTTAAAGTCAATATATTCATACTGTCTTACTTACTTTGCTGGTCGTACAGATCAATTGTGATCCATGACCTTCCTTAGTCGTTCCTTAAAACTATCTCTATCGCTTGCTCCCGTCTGCTAATTACCGATTCCAAATGCAACACTGTCTTTATCAACAATATATTCATACAATTACTTAATTCTGATAAATGCTAAAAAAATCTCTAATTATGACTTTGAAAACTAATCGCAAAAATTATTTCAATTAGCGTGAATGGAAGCTTATTAAATACATGTAATTACTGAGAAGTAATTAGTGTAAAGTACAATATTAAAATTGTAACGATTAAAAAAATTGGAAAATATCTGACGCAAATTTTGACGAGAATTTCTATAATGTTGATACAAATTGTATGTATGATGAAAATTTAATCATTATTTCTCAGAAGGGTTCAATGAAATATTTTCATTAGCACTAAATTGCAAAGTTGCAAGTGATTATAAAGACTATTGGTTGTTATTATTCTAATTTATATTAGTGTATTTCTCCTAAGTTGATACAGACGTGTAGCAAGATTTGGGTGACAAATTTTCCTCCTTTAACATTCAAGTTATCTATACAAAATTTTGTTTGTCCAAACCCCTTCTGCAGTTATATTTTTATGGTGTCATTAAATTTAAGGGTACCAAATCTTATGAATAGAGAGTCGGAGTTTATTGAAGACGGTGAGTAAGTTTAATGTTGGTTAATTTAACTAAATGTTTCTAGTTAATTTTAAGATTTCATTCCAATTAAATCTGTTTAATTCAAATCTTTTTGAATCCTTGACTCTCATATCATTACTTAGAGTCTATAACACTAGGCTGTTGGGTCTTAAGATTTGCTTGTTCTCCAATCTATCTAACATTTTAACTAGTGCCTCAATCTAAGGACCTCGACTTAATGTACTTCATTCATCAATTAAGATTATTTGACACCCTCCTCTCAATCGTATCCTGATTAGGATGACGAAGCGGTGAAATGACATCAGTGGTAGAGCGTTGGCCTTACGTGGCAAAGATTTTCGGTTTAATCCCAGGTCAAGTCAAGTTTTAGAAGCTCTTTTTCCATTTCACTTTTCTAGTTACAAAGCTCGGTTCGTGTGTTGGGTGTAGTTTTGAGATCTCCGGAACAAAACGTGTCTTTTTTGCCAGGTATACAAGGATATACTAGCATCTGGATGATTTCATTACAGCATCTTGCGCACCCGAATTGTGACTAGGTACATTGCAGGATACATCAGGTCTGTAGACGTACTTGTTTGTTTGCAATGTGCAGAGCTTGCTAAAAGGTTCGGATTCCAATATAAACTGCAGGTCCAATGGGTGTGGTATAATAGATTCTGTTCTAATTTGAATCGCAGTGCCACCAGCTGAAATGGCTGGGCCCTCAACATGCTTTACCTTTTTATTTAAGATGACGAAAGCTTTATCAAGTTGATAAAAATTAAACCATCAAATCCAATCAACAAGAGTGCAATCCTGGTTTTTCTTTTCGAAAAAAAAAAATATCATAAGAAAATGAAACAAGCAAGAAGTAAGTAACAAGAAGAAAAGATTTAAAAAAATATAAAATAAAATTTGCAATCAAATAAGAAACAGAAAAAAGAATTTTATTTTTTTTCTGCACCTGCTAGTCTCATTCAATCCATCGTTTTGTGTCTGTATATACGCTCACTTCTAATTTCACATGCACATAATAGAAGTGAGATTGTGAAAGTCACAACCAGACATTTTGGCAGACGCTAACAAGACTTATAGAGAAGAATATAGAACAATATTTTTAGCGAAATCCGCAAATAACTTTTTTTTTCTTATTCGTTTCGTATTGAAACAAATTTTAAAGGTTACCGTCATTCTAGCTCGTTCAGCATTTTTAAGGAAGGAAATTTTCAGCTTTTTTTGCAGTTTTTTTTGCTATGCTATTTAAAATAAAATTGTCTCAGAGAAAATGAGAACATTAAGTCGTTAATTGGGCAACACATTCAATTTTTCGCTAGACAAAATCTCTCACGAACTCGTGCCAACAAAAAAAAAGTTTTTCATTCCTGCCTTCGCTCATTTAAGACATTCATGTGACTGTTATGACAAATTTAATACGTATGATTACTGTCCATTCATCAAACTGAAAATGACTACGACAGTGTCTCTCATGTGATTCTTTTTTTTTTGGCTTAGAAGTTTCTTGCTTCTGTCTTGCCAAATCTGCTTCATATTTAATATGAGACTCAGCGTTGGTAGCCTAGATGTCTACTTCAGAAATGATCATAGATATTTTTAGAGTCTTCAAATTCGTCATACAATGCAAAAGTCATTTGTGTTGTGGTTCTGTGTAGTTGTCGAAGCTATATACTTATTTTGGTCAGGTAAAGAGATTGTTGAATCCGATGCTATAATATTTTGGTTTCATTTCGTATTGTATGGCACAGACGTGCTGTACCGTAGTGGAAATCACTTTGTGGCGGAACCTTGACGGAACATTTTTCAATCGTGCTGCACAGGGCGGTTTCACTCTTCGAAATGTAATTAATACAACCTACCGCTACCTGCTATTTTTTGGTTTAAGACTTAAAAACATTTTTGATGGTCCTTTTTCGAATCATTTATGCTACAATAGTATGCCCACATCCTTCCTTTGAAGGTAACAAACAGGAATGTCATCAAATAATTTGTTTGAATAAAACTATGAACTGTAGATCTAGTTTTAAGTGCAATTGTCTTGTGAGTTCATTCAATGAGCAGCTATAAGCTATGTTCCTGAACTAGAATCGTTTTCTATGTTAATGGGGCACCTCCAAGCCACTCCTCAACTGAACTCAACTATCAAAAACTTATGACAGTGCTGGTAAATTTTACGATCATAATTTGGGTTTGATATGGGTTTTAGTCCCGAAATTCCTTCCACAGCTATACCCCTGTGATCCTGTATAGTTTAGATACACCAAAGACAGTGTGCATTGATAAATCTCGAATGAAAACCCTTTGTGAAGCTGTAGATTCTTCAAAATCGGCTACGAAAACCTCAAAGTTGTTCATCCCACTTGCTATAATTCTACACTCCTGCATGTCTGAAAATCAAAACCCAAATTTCAGGCTCAAATAAGTCTCCAAACCAGCTAACAACACTGATGAAATTCCTCATCGATTGCTTCATTTGTTTTGATTGGAACTGATTTAATAAGCATCATGACAAATAACTTTCTGTGTGGAATTTTTCATATTGATATTTTAATTGGAGTGGAATGTTATCAAGTTGTAAACAAGTTTAATTGATTCGCATATTTTTTTTCATGCATAAATAAGAACAGTGAAAGAGTTATGAGCATAAATTGTGCTCATGTGACATGTGAGTTTAATGTTATGCGACAGAATTTGATTTTTTTTTCAGTTGACAATGAATTTTAAAAGAAAAAGTCGTAAACAAATTTGAGGAAATTTCCTTGCAAATTATTGGAAATTATGTAAATTTATTTTTGCCGCGTGATTAAAGCTAATTGAAATTTTAAATTTTGAAGTCAATCAATTCAATTTATTGGAAATTTATGAAGATAGATGAAGGAGAGTAGAGATGAGGTTTGTTATCGACTAAGTATGTACATCATTGCTTGTTTATTGTACTTTAATGGTATCGACACTTATTGCTAATAAACAACACTATAGGGCAATTCCACGAGTAAAGGGAACTGAGAAAAAGCAAGTTGTAATATTTTTCTACTTGTAGGAATTTGAATTTTTTTTACGGTTATAAATTTTCAAAAGATTCAAACTAATTTTCATTGCCTTGATTATTATTACGATTATTACACAAAATCATGATGCTAACATGAAAAAAAAACACATTAAATTCATTATTAACCCAATAAAATGTTATTTTTCGAAGAGAAATTATTCTTAGCAATAAATAAATTTAACGGAAATTCAAAATTCAAATATTCTGTTTATTGTTGGTTTTGGATAAAGCGCTGAAAACTTAACCAATTAACGCAGTATTTTTTAATTTTCTCTGTGAATAAAGCATTTAAGAACAGAAAAAGGGTACAAATAAGTAGAAAAAGTGAATATCTATGGCTTAAAAATAAACTTGAGCACAAAAAATGGATATTTGAAGACGTTTTTAAGGATACAAGAAGCAAAATTTTCGTAAACTTAACCGATTAACGATGAAAAAACTGAATTATTTCAGTAAATAGACCTTTAAACGTTTAATTACCTATTTTAAAATGAATATCTTGAGTTATTTCTAATTATAAATTTTTAAAAGAACGGAAAAAGGTGTTATTTTAAGAGTATTTTGATCAAAAAGAATTTTACTTGCATTTTTTCACTCATGGAATTGCCCTATAGAGAACATTATTAAGTCTTACAAGATCCTTTTTAGCACTTTTTGAAACTTTTTTTTAACAGGTAGCTTAATAATACACTTTGTTCGGCTGCTCGGGGCCAGAAAAACTTTTTAACCGGACATCGTTGAGAGCTAAGGTTTGTTTTATTAGCTCCGTTCCTATTGTTTATTGTCCGATCGAACAGTTAAAAGTCTTGAAACAGTGCATTTATGCTATAATTAATGAATTTTTGCTTTGTTTTCAGTGTAACCTGCTCAAATTTTTTTTAACCTCTATAATTTCAACATTACCTCTATAATTTCAATTTTTTTCCAGCCGTTGTAAAATTTGAATTTCAAAAAAAACCGTTAAATGATAAACTTTTTCTGTATGGAAATTCATTGGAACAAATTATTTAATTATACTATAATTAATTTTTTCGTAGTGC